GCAGGCTGTGGTGGCGCACACCTTTCATCCCAGCACAAGGGGGGGCAGAGGCAAGCAGATCTCTGTGAGTTCGAGGCCAGCCTGGTCTACAGAGCTGTTCCAGGGCAGGCTCCGAAACAATACAGAGAAACCCTGTCTCCAAAACCAAAACCAAACAGACAAACAAAAAGACTGTCAATACTTGACAGAGTCTAGAATAACCCAGGAGACAATGTGATGGGCATACCTGAAGGAGTTTATTTTATGTGCACTGGTACTTTTCTTATATGTGTGTCTGTGTGAAGGTGTTGGAACTCCTGGAGTTGGAATTATAGACAGTGTTGAGCTGCCATGTGGGTGCTAGGAATTGAACCCAGGTCCTCTAGAAGATCAGCCAGGCTCTTAACTGCTGAGCCATCTCTCCATCCTCCCCACCTTTTTCAAATGTACATGGCGTTTTGACTGCTTATGATCTAATAAAGCTGGCTTGAAGATCAGAGTGCAGAACCAAAGTTAGCCATAAGACAGGCAGCGGTGGCCACACCTTTAATCCCAGCACTCAAGAGACAGAGGCAGATGGATCACTGTGAGTTCAAGGCCACTCTAGGTTTCCTGAGAGTAAATCAGTCTAAGAGAAAAACAGAGCTCACACTTTGATCCCAGCATGGGAGAGGTATGTAAGACAGGAACTCAAAGCAGTCTGAGTCTGAGGAGCAGCTCAGTGGACAGCAGTCAAGTGGTGGAGAGCATTACAGTCTGCAGTCACTCTGAGGACAGGACTGAGCCTTGGAAGGGGTAAGAACTCTCTAGTGGCTTGGCTGCTTTGCTTTTCTGTTCTTTAGTTTGAACCCTAATATGTCTGGTTTATTATTATTACTATTATTATTATCATTCATGCTATTTATGTATGAAGGTGTCAGATCCCCTGGAACAGGAATTACAGTTAAGCTGCCACATGGGTGCTGGGCATCAAACCTTGGTCCTCTGGAAGATTTGGCCACCCTAACTGCAAAGCCAGTTCTTCAGTCTCCTGAATGAGTTTCTAGACTGAGTTCATTAAAGAGGGGAAAACGCACCAAAGGGTTGGGGAGAGGCTCAGTGGACAGGAGCATGTATGTGCTCTGTAAGCACCAGTCTGGATCCCAGCATGTGTGTAAAAAGCCAGCCCCACTGTGTATGCCTTGTGATTCCATCGCTGGGAGTTTGCTGACTAGCTAACTTAATGATGAGCTTCTATTCTAGTCTGGAGAGACTTTGTCCCAAAGTAGTTAAAGCACATAGCAGTAGAAGACACCCAATGTTCTGCTCTGACCTACAAACCTGTCTGGGTATTTGAACCCACGAATCTCACATACATACCCTTAATGGGGGCAGGACCATTCTATCTATGTGCTGGGGTTCCAGCCTGTATTAATTACTTTCCTATTGCCATGATAAACCATCATGACCAAGGCAATTTACAGAAGCAGCCATACCTCAAACAGTACCATTAACTGGGGACCAAGTATGCAAATTATGGGAGCCATTTCTTATTCATACCACCTAAGTAAAAAAATAAATTAAAAAAAAAAAAAAAAAAAAAAAAAAAAAGAGAATTTATCTTCCTGGGAAGGCCATCATGAGATTCTTGGGGGCAGTTGCTGCCAAGGTTACCTCAGGTCTAGAAAGACATTTGCCTTAAAAACACCTCCATCAGCAAGGCCTCACTCAGGAAGCCTGGGTCCTTGGCAAATGTGGCAAATTTCATAGCAATTGGACTTCTTGATTATGTTCCTTGTCATAAGAAGCCTATGTCACCTTCTCTTGGTAACCACTGTATAGTTTCAAAACAAAAAAAAAAATTTTTTTTGAGACAGGATTTCTCTATAGCCCTAGTTGTTCTAGAATTCACTATGTAGATCAGGCTGGCTTCAACTCACAGAAATCTGCCTGCCTCTGCCTCTGAAATGCTGGGGTTTATTGACTGACAACCACATTGCCCAGCTATTATATAGTTTCTGTCATTTATAGCTGTTATCTGTTGAAATTTACAACAGCCAACATTTATTGCACTCTAAGAAAATGTTATCATCACATTAATCCTAACTAGACATATAGCTAGAGTACTGAAGGATTGAGGCCTGGGACAGAGTCTCCTAAAGCCAAGGGCTATGGTGTGCTTGGTGATGGAGTACTTATTAGCATATCCAAGGGAGTGAATTTGATACCTAGCACCACACATACAACACATAGCTGGGGATAGTGGAATATAGCTTAACTCCAGCACTTAGAAGGCAGAGGCAGGCAGATCAACAAGTTTGATGTAGGCCTGGTCTACACAGAGTTCCAGGGCAGCCAGGGTTGTACACACATGGGGCTGTGTCTCAAATGAACAAAAAGTTATTTTTTCCTCTAAGGTCTGAAAGTAATTTCTGATAGACTAACAATGCTAAGACTAATCTGTATTGCTGTGGTTCTCCCGGCCTTCCTTTGTCATAATACCCATGGGACTCCCACCCTGACAGACGGGGGCAAAGGCCTGTCTGTAATGAGAGCATTAGTCCGTGTTATCATGGACCCATACTTTCACTTTTAGACTTACTTGGTTATGGTTAATGTGAATGCAATAGGTACAATTGTATCAGGATGCCCTCTCACCCCATTCATGAGGATATTTGCTTGTCAGCATCCAGGAAAACAGAAGTATCTTGAAACATGGGTTGGTAGAGTGCTTGCTTAGCAGTATGTAAACACAAGACCCTGAGGGTCAACGCCCAGCACTCTCCCTAACCCTATTCTTAGATGACCATAGCTATTTCATGGTTCTGTTCATGACTTTTGGCCTTTTCCCCTTTACTTCTGGGTCTGTGGTGAGGCAGCCAGTCACATCAGAAGCAAAAAGTAGAGCAAAGTTGCTTCCTTAATGGCTGAAGGCAAGAAGCTCACAACCCTTGAGGGCATGTCCCCTAGTAAAGTGAGACCTCCCATCAAGACACCCCTAGTTTTGGCAAGAGAGCTGTTGACAGCCTTTCCGGTATATTCCAGATCCAAATCACAGCAGGAAGCCACTCTGCTTAGATGAAGTCATAAGGGTGGGGCCCTCATAATGGGAGTGGTTGGTCTCTGCCTTGTTGACACAGCAGGAAGGTAACTTCTTGTAACTGCAAGCTATATATCACAAGACTAAAACTGACTTGCCAATCTTCAGAACCGCTGCTTAAGCCCCCAGGTCTATACCAGTTACATTACTCATCTTCCCTTCCTTCCAGCTACAACCATTAACCCACCCACTGCCAAATTAAAGGTTATCATTTATTTCCAACATACTTGATATTTTGTTTTGAACTCAGCAAACAAAGCATAAACCTTTCTGTCCTCAAGGGGTTTTATCTTCTACTGGGGAAAGACAGGAAAATAAACTAGCAAGGCAGGAATCCAGCTGACCAGGGGAGCTTATGCACATGGAGAGAATGCCACTTAAGCATATCAGTAAGGAATGAACTTCTAAACCACAGCCTTTGAAGAACTTAGTCATTTAGTAATCTCGAGGAACTGTTACAGTCAAGAGGAAATGTATGAAAGCTTTGTGGTGGGGATAGTGCCTAGCACATCCCAGGAAAAGGAAACTGGAACAAAACAGTGGACTTGGGGCTGAAGCACATTAAAGTCTCCTGTAAGACACAGACATCTACAAAATAAGAGGCTATCATTTTGTTGTTTCTGAGACGGCGATGGAGAGGTTGTTCTGGCTGATGTGGAGCTATGTAGATCTTCCTGTCCCACCTGTACCACCACCCTGCTAAGCCTACTGTACTGTTCTAAAGTGGGAAACATGCAATAGTCCTTTGTTAGAGGTTATAGACCTGGGCATATCCAAGCATGTCGAGCCACACAGTAACATTTTTAATCCCTGGCTTTGATAGTATCACTTAACTTCATTCAGATCATTTATGTCCTTGGCCTCCTCTCAATGGTCTAGTACGGACCATTAACTTAGCCATGTATATTCACACATCAGATTCCCATGAACCAACAACTCCAAGCTGGTCCCTCCCAGACACCAAGTACCACTCATCTAAAGATGGGTTGACACACCCCCACCCAGTTAAGAGGAATTTTACAATCCTAACCCCTGGGCCATTTTCCTAATTGTGACAAATCAGAATCCTCTGAATGCAAGCAGTCACAATTCCAAGAAATGTCCTCATTGCCTTGGCATGTGAAGACCCATCCCAAATAGGATGGCAGCACCTTTTGTTAGCAGACCAGATAAAAAGGGCAGATTGCTTCTTTGGCTTTTCCTCTTCCTGCTGAGATGCTCTGTTGCTTGTTTCTTCCCAGATTCCAGTAGTGCTAGCAAGCTTCCACTTTGTACCAATACAACTCTCTAGGAACCTTCCAGGCTCTTCTTGGCAGGAGGTGGAAAGTTGCTAAAGCACCTAGCATCAAGGACTGAACAACTACCAGATTCTAGTCTACAGTGATTAAGCCACTGTTACTGTTGTACTGTTACTAATAAAATAGTAATAGTAAAAAAATTGCCTGGTAAATTCTTTAATGCATGTATACCACCAATGTCATGGTTGTCTAGAAAACATTCACATTAAGTTTTAATATTGTCTCTGTTACTGATACACTCAAACCAGTTATTGTCACTGTACTCGACATTTTCAGAAATGGCTGTTGGCTGGTATTAAACCAACACGAACACATCCCTCCCTTAAATACAGATGAACCATTAATCCTTACTAGTTTCTACTACAAAGATATGGCCTCAGCTGGGCAGTGGTGGCACAGGTAGGTGGGTCTCTGTGAGTTCCAAGGCAGCCTGGTCTACAGAGACTCTACAGCTGATCTTACAGAGCATTCTGGACAGATTAACTCATTTATACATTAAAATGGACAACTAGCAATTAAGCACCCAGACTCTGGTCTTAAGTCTCCCTTTGGGAATGTGGGGGAATGGACAGATTGTCACCCATTTGTAAACTGTTTCACCCTAAAAATCCTGAAAATGGGAGGAAATAAAACTAGACAGACACTATTATTTAAGACCTTTATTAACAGGTGCTTGCAGTTTGTTGACTTTTTTCTTGAAAAAATCAAGTTGTAAACTTTTTATTACAAATTAAAAATGAAGTTCTTAAAAATCTCAACTTGACCAGATATGAAACAATTTAAAAACCATTAAAGGTGTATTGAGAAAAACCAGACTTTTTTTTTTTAAAAAACACGTTTGTCATTACCAAAAAGAGACATCTTTAGGTAAAAATAATAAAAACCCCATGCTGCATAGATAATGCAGGTAGTTCTAGTGTATCTGGTCAACGGGCAAAAAGCAAGCACTTAAGGTCTTCAGCTCCAATCTTTGTTCATTTCTTATTGCTGGAATTTCATATTCATTTCTTCTTGTTGGATGACCAAACTGCAATGAGAAGACTCTTATTATTTACCACCCTCAAGCCTTCACATAGCTGACCACATCAGTAACATTTTTAACCACCTCATTTTGCTTCAGTTTAAGAATGATTCATAACAGAAATTGTCATTAACTGCATTTGGATGATGACCTTGTTTCTGTTCCACACCCCCACACGCAAAGACAGGGTTTCTTCTCTGTGCATAGTCTTGGCAGTCTTGGAACTCAAAGAGATTCACCTGTCTCTGCCTCCCAAGTGCTGGGATTAATGGCATGCACCACCAATGACAACCTGAAATTAAATCTTATTGGCAAATAAAGCCAAATGTAAGCTAGCTTGGAAGATGAGGCTGGCTTCAAATTCAGTGATCTGCCTGCCTCTGCTGCCAATGCTGGAATTAAAATAAAGATTACATCTTGATAGGTTACTTTTCAAAGCCTTGAAAATCCACAATATATCTTCAGAAAACCAGGAGCAAGACTGAGTTTTCTGCTAAGATCAGAGTTGACTGACAATCAAAACACAAACATTTAGACTGATCCAAAGGAAAATATTTTGCCTAACTTGGATTAGAGTGACTAACACTAACAAAAACGCTTGTTTTACTCTTACTGTTTTTAGTTTCTTTTTGTGCTAGAGCACACAACAATGCAGTGAAGGTCAGAGGGTGCCTACTTACCCGGATGATGGTAGAGATGGTAAGCCGGCATTTACTCAGCCCCGCCCTGCTCAGCCTCGGGAGCGGACGAATTCTCAGCTGGTGGATCGGCTGCTTTTGTCTCTTTGCCATCTTGTGGTTTAGGGTTCTCTGGGCGTCTGCGTCGGTAATTGAAGTTGCGACGATACCGACGTTGGGGTGGCTGCTGACCCTGGGTCTCATCTCCTTGATTTTCCTTGTCCTCTTCATTGCCATCCTCTCTAGGCTGTCTTTGGCGAGGAGGGCCCCTAAAATGAACATTACATAATCTCAGGCATGATCTATAACTTTTTTTCCCCTTTAACCCAACCATTAAGTGGTAGTATTTGGTACTTGGCTATGGCAATTTTTTTTCTTTTAGGTGGTCCATCTGACAGTTTAGTAAATGTAAGTTACATCTAAAAGCCAAGTGCTATGATTCTGTGTAGTAAGTATATTCTCTATGTCATTCATATAAACCAAGGCCAGTAACTATTCTCCTATTGTATGCTCTTATGTGTCATTTCATTTCTCATACACTAAAATCCCCCCTTTTGGGGCTTTTTGAGAGTGTTTCTCTATGGCTTTGGAGACTGTCCTGGAACTAGTTCTATATACCAACCAGGCTGGTCTCAAACTCATAAAGATCCACCTGCCTCTGCCTCCTGAATGCTGGGATGAAAAAGGTGTGTGCCACCAACACCCAGCTCATACACTAAAACTTTGATCAGTTTCTTTTTAGCTCTGCTCCATCAAAAGTAGCTACTTAGCCAGGCGTTGGTGATGCACTCCAGAGGCAGATGGATCTTTTTTGAGTTCAAGGCCAGCCCACAGACAGAGCCTGGAGTGAGTGCCAGGATAGGTTCCAAATACACAGAAAAACCTGGTCTTGAAAAACAAACAAAAAAAGCTATTATATACTTCTGCGTGCCTTAAGATTTGTGGCATGGTTGGGAAAACCTATGCTTTATGCAAACTCAAGAGGCTAGAGAGATATAGCTGTGTGGTTAACACTTGTTCTCAGATGACCAGTGTTTGATTTGTAGCACCCACATGGTGGCTCACAACCACCCCAAACTCATCAGAACCAGCCAATGGTGGCTCACAACCACCCCAAACTCATCAGAACCAGCCAGTTTCAGGGGAACACACCTCTTCTGACTTCCATGGGCACCAGATATAGATACACTCAGGCATACATACAGAAACATAACTGTATCAAAGCAAAAAACACAAGTCTGTGTAAGGAAGTAATCAAGACTCAATCTCTTTGAGACAGGGTTTCTCTGTAGCTTTGGCTGTACCAGAACTCTGTAGATCAAGGTGGCCTGCAGCCTCAAACTCTCTGTGCCTGGGATTAATGGCTGGAGACACCACCACCACCTGGCAAAAATCTCTCTACTCAAAATGTATTTGAGTCATTAACGTCAAACAAAAACAAAACAACCCCACAACAACAAAAAAAAAAGGAAGAATTCAGAACAGGGACAATACAATAAAATAATTTCAGGGAGCACTCCAGATGCCCAGTGGTTAAGAGTTCTTTTTAAAGATTTAATTATTTATGATGCTTAAGTGTGTTCTGTCTGCATGAAGGCACCAGATCTCATTACAGATTGTCTGCCATCATGTGGTTGGTTGCTAGGAATTGAACTCAGGACCTCTGAAAAAAGCAAGCAATGCTCTTAACCACTGAGCCATCTCTCCAGCCCAAGAGTTCTTGTTCTTGCTAGGTTTGGTTCCCGAGTACCCAGAATTGCCTATTCTTAACATAAATTCCAGAATGTCAGATGCCAAAAGTACTGGCCATCATAAGCTGTTACACACACTCGCAGGCAATCATTCCAATAAAATAAATTTAAAAGTGAACCAGGTAAAGGTCCCTAATTCATCTGAATTAAAAACATAGGACAGGGACTGGAGAAGATGTAGTGATTAAGAATACTGACTGCTCTTCCAGAGGACCTGGGTTCAATTCCCAGCACCCTATAGCAGCTCATAAATATCTAATAATTTCAGTTCCAGGGGATCCAACACTTATATGCATCAGTGAATGAGAATGACTATTAACTCACGATGCTGGAGAGGCCTAACATCTGGCTGGAGAATGTAACAAACAGGTTACAATGGACCATACCTGCGGAATCGTGGTCTGTAACCCCGATACATATTCTGTCTCACTGGTCTACCTTGCTCTCCTGCGCCCTGGTTGTCAGCACCCTGAAAAGACATCAAAAATTAGTCTACGGGGTCAACTTCAAGCTTGTTATTTTTGAACAGGGTCTTTTTGCACAGCCCCAGGTTGTTCTCAACCTGGACATCTGTAGATGATGCTGGCCTCCAGAGTGCTGGGATTAAAGACATGCACCACTGTTTCCTGGCCAAATTCCAGGACATGACCACACCATATAGTAACAGGCTTGGTGGTTCTAAGGAAAACAGTCTCTCTCAAAAGCTGTAATGAGGACTGTATAGAGTTGGTGCTTACTCAGCATTTACCTCGACAACATAAAAATGCTGTTACATACATACTGGCACTTACCTCCATCACTTCTCCTTGCACAGGAGGGTTGGAATACTGTGGTCGACGCCCATAGGGTCTCCTCAAGTAGTAAGGTGGGAACCTTCGCCTGCGATAGGGCCTGCGTTGTTGGGCTTGGCCTTCAGGAGCGCTTTCCGATCCCTCGTTCTTTTCCCCACTCTCACTATTCTGGTAGTTTTGCTGGTAATTGCGTGGAGGACCCCTACGACGTGGATAGCGTCTATAATGGTTACGGTCTGCTGCGTATTTACTGCCTTGAACTGGAACTCCACCAGGGCCTGTAACATTTGCTGCCTCCGCACCCTACAAAAGCCATTATTTATTGACAATAACAAAGGAAATCCAAATATTCAATACATTTCACACAAGCTGGGGAGGGAAAAAAAACAAAAAACCCAAGAGCAAACAAAAGAGGGAGGTTGTCTGCATGGGAAAAGGGTGCATAGAAATGACTGTATCATCAGCTCCTCACTCTTCTGAAGGGACTGTTCTCTATCTGCAGCAGCATGTTAGGCTTGATGCACCTGTGTTCATGTAGTCACCAGGACACATCATCCATCCAATTAGAGCCACCATCCTAATGGATGAGACCTCCACATTATTTCCACACCGAAGTCAAACCTTTACACAAAAAGCATCCTCACCTTTTCTCCTTCAACAACATCAAACTCCACAGTCTCTCCATCTCCTACACTGCGAAGGTACTTCCTGGGGTTATTCTTCTTTATGGCAGTCTAGTAACATCATTCCAAAAATAGATTAACAGGGGAGAAGAATGTGCTTTTTTTTTCATTTAAAATGTACCAGCGTCAATATCATTTTTAGCTTGGATATATACTTAAAATTTGCTTTATGTAAGACCACCTGTCAATAGTTTAGGAAAGCAGGGACCAATGTTACCTTACCCCCGACCTCTACCAAGAGACTCCAATCTTACAAGGCCCCAGCATTTTACCACTATTTACAAAACTAAAGTGATTTAGTACCCAAGACAGACAACAATGTGTTATATGCATCACATATAAAGCTTGGAACAAAATGAGGCCTCCATCTATATCCCCCAAAGACTGCACTTAATAAATAGTAGAAGCTAGCAGGACACACGGCCAGTTTAGATGACAGGCAAGTTTAATTTTGCATGCTTCAACTTTGACCATACCAACTCTTGTCCCTTTTCCATACCAAACTCAATTACAAATGTCAACCAAAATCCCTTCCAGTCTGTCTATAAATACTTCCAGGGAAATGCATTTCACATGTATCTATGCCACTCTCTGTAAGAGACCTGTTGGTTACCACCTCCCCAGGAAAGTTATGTCTTACATTATATAGGGCTTAAATTATGAAGTGCCAAAGGTCACACAGCTATTAAGTGGCAGGGGAACTTTTCTAAATCCAGGTCTCAGGACTCCAAATCCCAATTCATTCCACATCACAGCAGTATCTGTTACAGGATCACTCATGCATTTCCATCCCAGAGGCGGCCGGACAACCAACAAATCTCAGGCTAATTAAGCTCCGGTGCCCCCAGAACTGCAGTCTACTTGATACACCACCACAACCTGAGCAGCCAAAGTCCCAAGAACAACTCTTGTTGAAACCACTTGCAAAATAGGAAAGCATATTGGTGACACCTTGTGGGATAAGACTGGGCGAATTGAGTCAAATAAATGATCTCATCTGTCATCTGAACTGTCGTACAGTTTCATACCTTTCATATGTAGCCAACTCTCAATTATTTGCAGTCACAGGGATAGTAGAATACATTATTTAAACATGTTAACCCTTTCAATCTTTCATGGCTGTCAGTGGCAGCAAGACTTGCTACTTGTCTGTTACCTCTGCATGTTACTTCAGTAAGAATCACCTTACTGAAACAAGCCTATTAATCCTAACATTATGTTTGAATGTTTGTATACTTACATCACACAGTGTTTTGAATATACTAAAATACAGGCCCCCCCCTTTTTACCCTCAATGTATGCTGTAGGATGCTTCAAAGAGCTACAAAATGCTATCCTGCCCACCTAAGGAGGATGCTGCCACATAAGATCTTAGCTGTCTAAATTAGTGGTGAGCACAGAAACTAGTGCTAGGTCTTTTACTCTCCCACCAATTTAAAAAAGAAAATGAAATAAGTGGGAAAAAAGTTGACGGCATGGAAGCACATAGGAAGTGACGTATTTCTTAACCCACTTCACTGTGTGGACAAGTCTGATGCTGGCAGTGTATCACTCACTTGGCACATGTAGCTTCTATCCTACCTCCTCCAAAAATTTACAGACCAATCACAACTCTTTTGCAATGCCTTTCACCCTAAGACAAATTACTACTGAGGATTTACATTTCCAGCTAACTGGAACAGAAGCACTTTAGAAAAAGGAGCCACCCTATAGTCAGTGCTGGATTCCAATTTTCTTCAGATAACAGTTTAGCTCTGTCCCATTAAGATTTATTTGGCCTTAACAAAGCCAGACATCTGGCAATGTCTTGCCAATGAATGTTTCTATGTATTTATAGCAACATTATTCAATGTTAAATTTGTGGTGGTTATTTGTCTGAAACTAGGCATGAAAACTGCATGCCATCAATTGAACAGACTCAACATTTAAAATTACATTATTAATGAAACTCCAAATCACAACACTTCTAAAATTAAGTGGACTCTTCAATGTTTCACTCTACTCTTTAATCTTCAGGTTCAGGAACTAAAACTCATTCTTGAACTTAACCTTTAGCACACCCACCCTTTTCTTCCCACTAGCCTTTAGCCAAAGTACAGAGAATCAATATAAGCACTCACCTGGTGTACAAATACGTCTTCCTTGGTGTCATTCCTACAAGACAGAACCAAGATTATCAAAGTGAATAAACAAGCATGTTTCATTGCCTAAACTGATTAAGAACCTGCCCTACAAAGCAAATTCCAGGCCAGTCAGGTTACATAAAGAAACCTGAAAAACCAAAAGAACTGCCTGGTCAGTCCATGGACATCCTCAATTTCCCCAGAGACTTCCTAGCTCTGTATAGGATTAAGCAGAAACTCATTTCTATGGGCAGGGGTGACATTAGGAAACTCGGGGAAAAAATTCATACATATCAGTGGTGTGGGGAGAACAGTAAAAACTACTGAACTGTTTTAAAGACTAATCTGTTGGAAACAGCCATAAACCTACTATCTGTAAGGAAAGCAAACAAGTCTAAGGTAGTGTAACCAAATGAGCCATAATTCAAAAGCACAGCAGTAACCAGCAACACCCCTCCCACTCTTTACCTTATTAAACATTAATAACCTAGCCCACACCCTTTTACCTACAGACCAGTATTAACAGGAGTAGTCATTCTTCTCACTTCCTCACATTTCTAACCTCTACCCCAAAAAAATCCAACACAACAGAATGGAACTTAACATATACTTATGTACACTTATTATGTGCCTGACACTAGTCCTAATAATACAATATACCTAGGTGCAAAGCTTTATCTTTTGACAGCTTGAACTGTGACAAGTTCTACATCAGTTTCCACACACAGTGCTGGTTGGGATTCTTACAGGAAACCAAAGTCTTTCATTTGAAGAATATGGTGTGATTATTATTGCATAAAATGTGGTGGAACATCTGAATAAGCAGAGCCCAGCAAGTTAGGTCAAAGTTCAGACAGGAAGTGACAAAGTCTTAGACTAAACAATCACCCAATGAAGTTATTTAGGCTATCTTTCTTGGGACCAAAATGAAGGAAACATGACAATATTAGGGCCCTGTAGAACCACTAGAGGAACAGATTCCCTTGTTAGTAAGCTGCTCTACCCTCTTCACTATTAAGAAGCCAGAGAAATGGCTCAGTATTAGTTCTAATATTTTAGCATTTAATGACCAAAAACACCATTGGTATATTGTTAAAAAGCAAAAAGGTTTGATGCAAGTGCTGTACCACCTCATCCAACCTAGGTATGTTTTAATATGCTTGGTTTAAACTGATGGGGTCAATAAGATGGCTCAGCAAGAAAAGGTACTTACTGATAATGTGAGTCTGACCATTTGGGTTTAATTAGATAATTCCTGCAACGTTTCCCCTCTGACCTCCAAATGTTCAACTCCCCAATAAGTAAGTGCAAACCTTTAATCACAATACTGGGGAGGCAGAAGACAAATTTCAATGTCCTCTCATAGTCTCTGTGGGCACCAGGCAAGCATGTGTATATATACACAGCAGCCTGGATTACTGAAGATTAACTTCTAACCATTACACAAGATGTGGAATACACCATTTATCATCACAATTCTGCCATAGGTAGTATCTAACACCTACCAGCTTCATAAAGCAAAGAACTGAAATACAACCTGTGGCTGTTTGTTCAGTGTTGACTTCTAACTTCTTGGGGGCTCTGGCCTTTATATGTTGGAATTTTTAAAAATCCTCACACATTACCTTAAAATAATTTTCAGATATATTTATATGCACTTGTGTATCTTTGAGTAGATGCTAGGTGTACAGGTACCTGGGGAGGCTATAAGTGGGTATCAGATCCCACTGACACTAGAGCATCAAGTACTTTGAAACAGTGAGCCATCTTTTCAGCCCACATTTTACTTTTAGTGGAAGGTTAAAACAATTGTTAAAAGAAAGCTTCATGCTTTCTTTACCATGTTTCACACTAAGCCCCTAAAACAGTCACTGGCTATGCCTATCATTCAAACTCCAGCTCTCTACAATTACTATTTCTACCCAGACCAACAAGGTTCTCAAAGTTAATGCCTTACTTCCTCTCTAGGCAGGCATCTATCTTTTCCAGATTGACTATAGATGCTTCTAAGGGTCTATTCAGGACCCTATAAAGAACATTTAACTAGTCTTAGGATAAGGAAAAGAGGGGAATTTAGAGCAAATTATTTTACCTGGCAGGAAAAAGGGAAAGATAAGGCATTGTGTTCTGAGTTTTAAGTCAGTGACTGAGTAAATAGAGACTTCCATCAGTAATAGGGCTGGAGTAATGGCTCAGCAGTTTAGATCACTGGATACTTACTCTTCCAGGACCTGAGTTCAACTCCCAGCAACCACTGAAATGAGATCTTGTGCCCTCTTCTGAACTGCAGACATACATGCAGACAGAATGCTGTATGTCAAAAATAAATCCTTTAAAAAAAAAAAAAAAAACAACCAATTGACTAATAGGTAGGTTGTTGTCTTGTGTACAAACCAAGAGTCCCAGTATTAAGTCAACCTGTTGCATGTCCCTTTCTTAACACTGTCAAGGAATCCTCAGACCTATTTTGGTGGATGCACATTTTAAGACAGAAAACAGGGTGACTTTAAAAGCCCAAAAGATTTTTGGTCAAAAATCTTCCCAATCTACCAAATTCTATAGGCACTTCCCTGATAAAATGAGGGAAGATGAGGGAAGCAGGTGACTCTGGGTTGTGTCAAATGTACAAAAAAAAAAAAAAAAAACAAAAAACTAACCAAGACAGGAAGGCAGAGACAAGGTAGATCTCCAAGTTCAGAGGGCAGCCTGGTCAACAGTGTTTGTTCCAAGACAACCAGGAATACAAAAAGAAACCCTATCTCAAAACCAACCAACAATCAAGGATGATGCCACCTGTTCTGGTTGGGACAACACCTATCACAGCACCCCTTCCAACTCAATTTCTTGCTACCTCAAAAATAACAGCCAAGTGGCGTTATTTCTTAGTCCCAGCACTCAGGCAGAGGCCAGTGGATCTAGTTCCAGGACAGCCTCCAAACCACAGAAAAACCTTGTCAACAAAAATTTCTCAACTGCATCTCAATCTCAGTATGGCTTATCAATCAAGCCCTTTAATTTGTAAAGGTGACTTACACACTAAACTAGAATATGTGGGATATAGTTAAAGGTAGCACCCATCACACCTGAGGACTAGGCAGCACATAAAAACTTCAGTGTAGATCATGGATGGACAATGCCCAACTGCAAATGGCCAGGATCTATTTTCAGATAGTGTAACAAAGCAGTTGTTGAATACTCCAGAGCACAAAACTGTCCAAATCTTGCTTCTATTACTTCTATGTCTATGGGACAAATCACTCAAACCTTATGATTTTAAGTCAATTAGATCACCTTAATCAAAAGACCCTGAATAAAATTACCATTATTGCAGTCATTAGTTTCAAGGGTCAATTCTTTGTGGTTACTGACACCATTAAGGTTTTTTTTTTTGGGGGGGGGGGAGGAGGCAGGGTTTCTGTGTAGCTTTTGAAGCCTGTTCCTTGAACTTCGAGATCTGCCTGCCTCTGCCTCCCTGAGTAATGGGATTAAAGGTGAGTCACCTGCCACCCCTGCCCAGTTTTCATTAAGTTTTATATGAAGGACATAAAGCTAAGCTTTCTAGACCACAGGTTAAAAGGCCTATGTATGTACACAGGGAGGGCAGAAATGGCAATGAGCAATCTAAGAGAATGGCTCAGCTGAAAGTGTTTGCAGGTACAAGCTTTAAGACCCTGAACCCATGTAAAAGTCAGATGCAGCTTTCTTCTGAGCTGCATACAAGTGTTGTAGCATATGCATTGTCTGTTGCTCTGAACTGAGCCACAGTTCACCCCCCTAAATTCTATCACCATAAAAGATCCATGTCCCACTCTTCTAACAGGACCGCTTTTCTACATCTAATAAACTATGATAGTAACTCGGGGAAGGGATGTAACAAGGGCCCAATTAAACAAAATTCTGCTACTTAAAAGCTCTTTGGAGGCCTTTAATCCCAGCATTTGGTCTTTAAAACCAGCATGGTCTACAGAGTAAGTTCCAGGACAGGCTCTAAAGCAATATATAGAAACTTTGCCTCAAAAAACAAAAACAAAAAGCTCTTTGTTTCTGCCTGAGTGTTGGGATTAAAGGTGCACACTTTTAACTTTAATAAAGGGTAGGGTAACCCAGGCTGGCTTTAAATTCAAGTAGCAGCAGAGCTTGATTCCTGATGTCCTGCCTCCTACAGAGGAAACTAGGCCCTAAGCACACTAAACAAGCACTCTATACCAAGTTAGATCCCCAGCACTTTTTAATTTGAAGCAATCAGCATTTGAAAATAAGCCTTGGAACAAAGAATTCTAAGTTGTAAGACTGCATTACAGGGAATAACTTAGGCTTCAACAAACCTATCTTTAAAGGTGAGATGACCTCTTATATTTGAATTATAAAATAGCTAAAGATCCTAGAATACATAATCCAAAATTCAGTGCATTCCAAATACCTATCTCCCATTTTACATTCTATACATTTCCTTAAAGGACAGACCTAGTTCACAGTATATCTCATTTTAAAACTACAACACCAACAATGACCTGCTTAGAAACAAGCACACCATTAAATCAGTAATTGGGGTTAAGATAGTCTAACAAAGGATAATCATAAGTCAATCATATCTATGTTATCTGGAAGAATGATCAACTATGCTTCTAAGGGCATAATTTTTGTACATCAAATCGCAGTATATAAATCTCATAAAAAAAACTTGGCTTAAAAAGTGGTGTAAGTCTAGACAAACGCTAAAATGCAATAAATGCATACCCAAAAACCCCCACAGCTAACCCAACTAGAAAGGTGCACTAGCTAGCTGGACTGGGCTAAGGATTTTAAAACTGTCCTTTAGAAGGTAGGGTACACAGACTAGTCTCAGCATCCTCTAGGATTGTTAGGAAGGAGAAATCTCAATCAAAGCATGAACAATTAATTATCAGTTTAAAGCCACCAGGACACAAGCCACATACAAATAGTAAAGCATTACACTTCCTTCTTTGCTCACTAGTAACCCATTGGGGAAAAGAAACACATGGAAACGGTAGCACTTCAGGAAAGCCAATAAATAGCCTACACCACACAAAATCCTAGAGTCTGGAAAAACAAATGTTTCCCTGTAATTGCTACCGTAGAGAACAGACCAGACCATTAAGTGATTGTAATCGCTTCTGTGAGTGTTTCCACAACACGGTATGATTTATCAATGAACGGATTTTCATCACTCCGTTATTTTTAAAAGCCTAGCTGCCATTTGGTAGTGTCCCAATTCACAAGCACTGTCACTCTTAAGTGTCTTGTCTTTCCCACCATCTACTTATTTGATGCCTTCCAAGCAAGCATGTAAGGGAGAAAATGCTGAAATGGCGCCAAGTCTCACAGCTGTACGGCCAGGATTGCTGCTGGCACTCGCGGTGCTCTACACCCATGCAACTGCACTAGCCTTGGCAGCCATCTTGAAAAAGATGCCGGGCTCACAAGGGAGCCCCGAGTGCAGGCACTGCACTCACCATCACCGGCTACTAACCGTTCTAAACCATTCTCTGGATCTATTAGGATGTACTTTGCAACTACTATCAAGGACTTAAGGCCACTCCAACAAGCTACAGCCAAGCTTTAACCAAAATTGATTTGATCAGCCATGATTCCCGGACAAGGAAGTAGAAGAAATAAAAATTGAGGAAGAGCCATTTTCTTCAGATGTATTATTTGCCGTTTGGGGAAATAAGAACCCTTTTTAGCTATAGTTCTATAGAAAATATGCTCGAGGTACTAAAAGGAGTGCGTATTTGAGTCGACTAAACAAAGGCAACATAACCTTATAGTGCAGATAACATCTCAGGCACTTGACATGTCAAATCATGTTCCCCAAGAGGTTAACAAGGTGGGGGGATAAAAATCACCTGCATGTTAATTAGTGGGTCACATTCTTACATAGCAATTTCAAGGAAGCAAGAAGGATGTCAAGGTTAAAAGGCGCTTAGCCTCAGATGGATGCAAGGTAACTGTTAAAGGCATGGTTCTTGCGCCGCGCTTGCCTTGACCTGCTTTGTGCCAAAGCTTGAAGCTAGCTCAGAATTGGTATTTAACAGCAAAACAAAGCAAGTCTACAGACCCACTAATCCAGTCACCCAAATAAGAAAAGCCACGTTTCCAACCCCTCTCCCTGTCAGGGCCGCGGTGGAACCGGCCCTGGAGATTACCCATGCAGGAGGCGGGCCCGAGCTGTCTACACCGGCATCTCTCACCTGTTGATGAAACCGTATCCGTTCCTTACATTAAACCATTTTACTGTTCCCAAAACCTTCGTTGCTGGAAAACAAAGCACAACAATGTCCAATCAGCGGCTGGCCCTGGAAGTCGGTCCAGGATCCGGCCGCAGGCCCGGGCCGCCGCCCTCGCCGCACACGTGGGTGCGCTGGGCAGCGCGGGTCCGAGGTGGGTGTGCGCCCGGGAGGCGAGCACGTGAGGCCCGGGAAAAGCAGCCCGCGCCGCTCCGGCTGCGTAGGCGGCGGGGCGGGGATCCCGCGCACGAGGCCCCGAAGCTGGTGGGCGCGGGGGAGGGGCGGCCGCGGCCCGAGCAGCGGCGGGAGCCCGGCGTGCGCGCGCCGCGGGCCCGGGGGGAGGGGCGGCCGCGCAGTCGGTGGCTCGGGGCCGCGTCGCCTAACGGTCTGGCCCGCGGCCCCACCCCCGGTCCCTTCTGGGGCTCACCGATGACCTTCTTGTCCCCGCCGGCGGGCGCCGCCGATGTGAGGCCACCCGGGCCGCCACTACCCGCGCCGCTGCCCGTGGAGCCGGGCTTGGTGTCGGCGGCGCTGAGGGCGGCGGCGGGGGCGGCGGGCGGCTGCTGGGTCTCGGCCTCGCTGCTCATGGTTGCGGTGGTGGTGACTGGGGCCGGCGGCGATGGCTGCGGCTCCTCCCGGGGTGTGATGGTGACTAGGCCGGCGGCGGCGGTGGGGCTCTCAGGGCTCTCTGGGGTCCGCTCTCCGCTCCCGCTACCGATCGAACTAGCGAGAATGGCGGGACGGGCGGGATAAGCCCCGCGATAGGCCCGCCCTCATCCTCTCTTATTGGCCAGGGTCGCCGTCCATCCTACCACCTGACCAGGTTCCTAGCGCCTATTGGCTCAGGCTCCGCGTCTCTTGCGCTCTCATTGGGCCTTTGGCGACTAATTCGGCCGACCCACAGCCGCTCCTGCCCTCGCCGCCATAGAGACCGGAACTAGAATGAGCTTTTCGGCCGTGAGCACCATAGAGTACCGGGAGGACGCGTAGAGGGAACGTGTCCGCACGGGGTTGCGCTCGTCGCGCACGTGGGCCGCGGTGGCCGGGCCTACCCGTGTTTCTAGAAGGGGCTTTCTCCCTGATCTGGGTTAGCACCGCGGCCTCCTTAATGGCTTAGGCTTTTGGCGGTCCAGTCACCTTGGAGGGACCACGCAGGCGCTCCGGCTGCCACGAAATCCGCGTGTTCAGGGCGGAGGTGCCCCTTTACCCGGGCGCTGGAGGAATGTATTTCATATTGGCCACAAATTAGGTTTAATTTAGTGTCAAATTTATTGGATAAGTTAGAATCGCCCCCTCCCCCCAAGCAACATTGTAGACAAGGATTGCAATCCATGTTTTTATACCCTGTAAAATACTGGCAGTCTGCTGTTACTGAAGCCCTCCGCCTACCTTCATTCATTCTTTATTAGGCATCTACTACTGACGGGGGATTTAAATAGTTTGCCAGTTAGCTTCTGCCTTCTGATGGAGGCAGAAATGTAAACGCCCAACACTTCATAGCTGGGTGAGCACAGCTTTTGAGGAAGGAAATAGGAAGAGTTGGGTGGTGACTTTTCAGGCTTGTGTCTAAAGGGCCTCGAGGAAAGTGCAAATAAAAGAATTCAGTAGGAGTAGGAAATATTGGTTGTAAAGATGGGTAGGATCAACTGGGTGTCAACTAGTGAGGAAGGTAGTTTTGGAGTTGTAAGTAGTGAGTCTAGAAACACAGTTTCTCTATATTGTTTTGGATCCTGTCCTGGAACTAGCTCTATAGACTAGGCTGGCCTCAAACTCAGAAAAGCGTCTGCTTCTGCCACCGAGTGCTGGGGTTAAAGGTGTGTGTGTGCCACCAATGGCAGGCTGAGTCTTTTAAAAAAGAAAGAAAAAGTTGCTGCTTGGAGAATGGGCTGCAGAAAAAGGGATGGAAGTAGGGAAAGCAATTAAAGGGATCCAAGATGGCTCTTCGTAAAGGCACTTGAGACCTATCCTGAAGACCTGAGTTCTATCCCTGAGCTCCACAGGGTGAAATAAGAAAGCTGCTGTCTGCATGTTTTAGTTTGACTCCCCATGAGCACTGTGGCATTCATCTCCCACCCACCCCCAGTAAATAAATACATGTAATACAAATTGCAAGAAGAAAGTTAGTGCAGTAACCCTTATCCCTTGCCAGCTCCATCTAGACCTACCACTCTATTTGATAAAAGCCTCCCTTCATCAATTATGGAAAATCTGATCCTCAAACCAGTTAGTCTTCTGTGCCATTGCTTTTGGTGATTGCTTAAAGCAGGGACAGCAAAAATAATTTTTTTACTCTCGTTTTATGTGCATTGGGGTATTTTGTTTGCATGTATGTCTCTATGAGGGTGTCAGATCCCCTGGAACTAGAGTTATAGACAGTTGTGAACTGCCACGTGGGTGCTGGGAGTTGAACCCAGGCCCTCTGTAAAGGTAGCAAGTGTTCTTAAGTGCTGAGCCATCTCTAGCCCAGAAAAAAAGGGCAAAATAATATGTAAAGTTTTGTGGGCTGTTGGGTTATAACAGATCAACTTTAGCTCTGAAAGCAGAGGTACATGTGTTTTGAAATCATTTACCAAAAATATTCTTACTATTTTTATTTGGAGTGGCACAATGGGGGTAAGAGGACATCTTGTATAGTTCATTCTCTTTTCTATGTAGGTCCCAGGCATGGCACTCAGGTCATCCACTTTACTGTCAGCATCTAGCACATTTATCTGCAATCTCACTGGGCCTGAAACAGTTTACTCACAGAGCTGACCTAGAAATGTGATGTGGCCTTTATCACAAGGTTATCTTTACGTTGTTTACTGCTTAAAACATTACAAGTTTTTTCTCTTTTATTGTTTTTTGTAACTGGTTCTTATTGTGTAGCCCAGGGTAACCTCAAACTCTCAGAGAACTGCCTGCTGGGTTAAAGTCATTAAAGGATTAAAGACAAGTAGGTGCCACTACCACCCCACCCAGTCCTCCTTTCTTAATATTGCCCCAAACAGCCAATGTTCCTTCAAACACTTGAACTCCTTAGTGACTACTGTTACATCCCAATTCCTTAATGTGGTATGCCTTCTCTAAATGTAACACCCCCTAGCCCCACTATTCATCCCTTGTCCAACCTAACAGGGACTCCTTTTTAGCTGATACTACATATTATAAATACTCCCCACCTTTCTGAAAATTCTTTTTAAAACACCCCCCCCCCCAATGCCTTTTTGAGACGAGGTCTCACTTGGAAGCTCAGGCTGCCTGGAATTCATGACCTGAGCGGTAGCTGTACCAGCATGTGCCCTTCTGACTTTCCCTTAAGCATCTACCTCGAGCCTAACACATGTTTGTTTTTGTTTTGTTTTCCTTTGATTTGAAACAAGGTCTCACCATGCCTGGAACTTACAGAGATCTTCCTGCCTCTGTCTCTCAAATGCTGGGATTAAAAATGTCTGCTATCATATCAAGCTGTGTAACGTTCTAATATCTATCCCTTTTGTCTCTGTGGTGCCAAGGGCTGAAATTAATCATAATCTTTAATGACACTGTGAAAAATGAATCAATGAAGTGCTGGCAGCAACAGGGCCATCTGGGCAGTAATCCCAGTATGAAAAGGCTTGAGGCAGCAAGGTGGTTAAGAGAGCTGCTGTTCAGCCACCTTTCATCAGCATGCCCCTCAGGCTTGAGATTTCCCCAAAGTTATGAAGATACTTAGAAAATGACAGAAATGGCCACAGAATGTAGTGGGTACCCATACTCCCAGAAGTTGAGAGGCTGAGGCAGGAGGATCTCAGTGATTTAGAGGCCAGTATGGACAGAACCCTTAAGAATAAATGAACAGGGGCTGGGTGGATGGCTTCATGGGATGCCCAGAATAAATGTTGAGTAGGCGTAGCAGCTCTCCTAGAATTTCAGCCTGGGAAAGTAGAGACAGCTACCTAGTAATGTTAGCTGTTGTGGTCAGATCTGGGTTTGATTGAGAGACTCTGCCTCTATGAATAAGGTGGAATAGCAAAGGAAAATAATTCTGAACATCAAACGTGGGCTTCCGTATGTATGCAGACACATGCATGAGTACCCACACACATGTAAAAACTGCATATGCACATCTTGAGAAATGTGGAAAAACTGAGTGTTAACTGCTTTTGAAAGATGGTGTCTCAAGTTGAAATGCCCATTCTGTCACATCTGTCTTTATTGCTTAGAGGTGTCCATCCCTACTTCCTCATTTGGGTACTCATCCGTCTTCATGCTTGGTATAACATGAAGATGGTATGTTAAGATGCACTGATGCATACATCTTTAATTCCAGCACTTGGGAAGCAGAGGCAGGCAGATTACTGAGTTTGAGGTCAGCCTGGTCTACAGAGTGAGTTCTAGGATAGCCAGGGCTACAGAGAGAAACCATCTCAGAAAAAAAGATGTCCCAAAGTGGGAGCTGTCTACTCCTTTCTGCTAGTCACTCCCTTCCACACCACTTTGGGAGTTTACACCAGCCAGTCTGTCCAAGAACCACCTTACACACAATACTAGTTCCTGCTTTTAAGCAGTGCAAAGTGACACATCCCGGGAATCTCCTTTGCAAAACAGCTTTCTCTTTTACCCCCATCCCTCACAGGTTCTGGGTTAGGAACACACCCTGACTCATCCTGGCTCTCCTCCCTAATCCCAATCAATACATCAACATCACACATCAGTTCTTCCAAGCCTTTAAAATTTGTCTTTTTTTTTTGAGACAGGGTTTCTCTCTGTGTAGCTTCAGAGCATCTCCTGGCACTCCCTCTGTAGACCAGGCTGGCCTTGAACTCCTGGTTAAACAACTGCCTCTGCCTCCCAAGTGCTGGGATTAAAGATGTACACCACCACTGCCAGGTTTTGTTTTTTTTGTTTTTTTTTTTTTTTTTTTTTTTTTTTTTTGAGACAGGGTCTCTCACTGTGTAGCCCTGGCTGGCCTAGATCTATGTAGACCAGGTTGGCCTCTGTAGAGATCCACTTATCTGTTTCCCAAGTGTCTGGTGCCTTCAGATTTTAAATATTTTTGTGTATATGCTGCACATGTGTACATGTGTGTGTGGGTCTCAGGGCACCAGGGCTCAGATTCCTGTCCTGGACTTCCTGATGCTTTGGGGCAGCTTCTTTCAAGAGAAGTTTTGCTGTTGTGTGCCATATTTCAGGGTACCTGGCTGGCAAGCTTCCCTGGAAGTTTCCTGTTTCAACTTCCTATCTTGCTATTCAGCTACTGGGATTATGAACATATCTGGCTCTTAGATGGGTTATGGAGGTCTGAACTCACACCATCATACTTGTCCAGGGAGGCTTTTATTAGATGAGACATCTCTCCAGCCCCTGAAAACCTTCTCCCTGTTAAAGTGGGTTTTGTTGTTTAATTTTTTAAATAACCTTTTCCTCTCACCTCATCTCTCCACTCTATATGAATATCTGGTTCATGTAATATACTAGACATAGATGCTTAGTATTTCCAGGTGTTAGGGACACAGAAGTTAAAGAAACAAAAATTCCACCAAACTAAAGAAGCAGACCCTCTGAAGTTTGTTTACATAGCTAGAGGAAGTTACTTAGGGCCTCTCTGTATTTCACTACCTTGTCCCTGGCACACAAAAATGGCACTCTGAGGCAGGTTCTGTTATAGAATTTGACTGTTTCATCTGCCTGTATAGTTGAGGAATCTCTGACCATGAGATGGAGAAAAACAGAAATGGATAGACATTGAAAGGTGTAATGGCTGTGATCCCAGCAAGTAG